GCAGGGCAGGAAGGCTCAGCTCTTTAATCCGCAGGGATTTAGCAACAAGGAGGTGGTGATCAGATGTTTTCTCACTGTGGTGATAAACAACAAGGATAAGAGCCTGTTTCCCAGCTCTCTGGGCTACTGCCCTGGGTGCGCAGGCGCGGTCTAACCTTCACAGCCCTTGGCTGCGGCGGGGCTCAAACCATTTTACAGATGAGGAAACTGAGGCTCAGAGTGGTGACGTCACTATTTGAAAGTCACCCAGCGAGGGTGTGACGTCCCAGGGAGGCCACCCGGTCCCCAGAGGGCAGGGTGGGACGGGTGGCATTCAACGCAGCAGAGAGCCCGAGTCACCAGGGCCAGAGGGACCTGTGAGGACTCGGGGTAAACCCCGGGGGTCCCCTGGGAAAGAGCCTGGACTCCGGGAGGCCCCCAGGGAGCACGTGGGACCCGCTTGGGAATGGCGTCCTCAGACCCGAGTCTGCAGCGCCCACCCCGGGTCTCCCTCCGCAGGTGGCTCCTTTGGCCACGTGTGCGCTGCCACCCCCTGGTGGCCAGCAGCAGTGGCGCTGCCATCCGGTCCACCGGGCTCAGAATAGGAACCACCGGTCTTGGGTGGGAACTGGAAATGACCCAGGGCCACAGTCCCTGGCCAGGACCTGCCGGCTTGGAACAGGACTCTGTGGCCAGACGCTCAAAGCTCATATTTTTGTTAGGACCCCCTTATCTCTTAATGACAAAACCCTGACTCTTAAGTGGCACTGTGACCAGCGAAAAATCCTATTTCCAACCTCTCCTGGAATAGGGATGGCCGATAAGATGTTAATACAGAAGTGTTGGTTTAGACTTCAGGCAAAGAACTTTTAAGCTTTTTTTTCTCCCCCACTTTCTTCCTGCCTAGAATGGATATGATAGCTAGATCTGTGACAACTTCATTGCAACCACATGGCACCCTTGGAATGTAAGCCACACATTAAAGATAGCAAAACAAAAAGCTAGAAGGAGCCAAGGCCATGGTCTGCCCTTTTCTGGTTTTACTTAATTGTATTCAGCTGCTAATAAAGTGGCCAAAGCAAGATAGTTACAGTACTTTGTTAAATTAAATCTACAGGCCAGAAGTGGTGGCGTACACCTGTGATCCCAGGACTGGGAGCCTGAGGCAGGAGGATGGAAAGTCTGAGCCCAGCTTGGTCAATTTAGTGAGACCCTGTCTCAACAAATGAAAACAGTTGTGGCGTGGTGGCGCATGCCCGTAATCCCAGCCATCGGGAGGCTGAGACCAGAGGTTCACAAGTTTCAGGCCAGCCTGGGCAATTTAGCAAGACCCTCTCTCAAAACAGGGCTGGGGACGGGGCTCCGTGGGCCAGCACTCTCCTGGCAGGTAGGAGACCCTACACTCAATGCCCATTAGTGAGAGAAAAAAAGAGCCCCCGACAGGCCTGACCGACGGACGGACAGATGGACCTACAGACTGGACGGCCCTCCGGGCTTACCTCCAGCTGCCTCAGTGCCGAGCGGCTGTCCTCGTGCGACGATTTCTGCTGCGACCGCAGGAGGGCGATCTCATCCTGCAGGGAGAGGAGTGCGTGAGGTGCGGGGCCGACGCTGCGGGAGCGGCCACACGGGGACGCTGCCACGGAGGTACGAGGTCTGGTTTTCTTTCACAGGAATGACTTTAAACCGAAATTGCCACTTTATCTGTTTCCTATTATCTGTCTTTTATTTTGATCTTTAAATTATTTATGATTTGGGTTTCATAGGAGAAATCGTGAACTATTTAAGCTTGTGTGTCTGATTTATTTCACTTAACATTAGGGTCAATGTGCATCCATTTTCCTACAAATGACTCAAGTTTATTCTTCTTTACAGCAGAGTAATACTCCTTTGTGTGTAAATACCACATTTTATTTATCCAGTCATCCATCGATGAACGTATAGGCCGCTTCCAAGATTTAGCTATTATGAGTTATGCTGCTATAAACATGGCTATTCATGTATCACTGTAATGTGATCTCTTTAACTCTTTCAGGAAGAAGCGTAGATGAGAGTGTAATTTTTATTTGTTTTTTGAGAGAGGGTCTCGCTTTGTAGTCCAGCCCAGGCTGGTCTTGAACTCACAGTGTACTGCAGGCTGCCTTCAAACTCATGGCAATCCTTCTGCCTCAGCCTCTCAAATGCTAGGATTGCAGGAGTGCACTACCATGCCCGGCTGAGAATGTGCATTTCTAACCTGGTGCTAGGTGCTTCGCTTCGGCTGCAGAGCTGGGCTTTGAGAACCACTGGGGCTTGAGCAGGGTGTCCAAACTTTTTGAGTAATTCTACCCCCAGGACCTTGTTCCCAACGCAACAGAACAAGAGGACCAAGGTGGACCCTCCAGGCCGTCTGCTCGGGGCCAATCCAAGTGCTTACTGCAGGGTGCTTGGTTAAATCGCTGCTGGTCCGTCAACACACGGGACAAATCTCAAACAGAAACACAGCTAAATGCAGATTCCTGGCCCCTCGAAGAGAATCTAGGGCTGCGGATATGAGCTGGGCCCCGAGGATCTGCATTTCACGAAGCATCTTGTGATTCTGCGGTGGGGCACCGGGGTCCCGGAACCCCTAGATGGCGCTGGGCATTATCTATGGTAAACCCTTGCGGGGGGAGGGGGGTGCTAAACAGACGAACAGTGCAATCCTGTACATAAACGGGCACCCAGGTGTGTGTGTGTGTGTGTGTGTGTGTGTGTGTGTGTGTGTTTGTGAAATTAAACCTCCCTATTGGAAATCCATGTTTTCCAGACGCATCCAGCTGGCACTTGGCAGCTCTGTGCCCCAAACTGCACAGTTCTGTGGCCAAAAAAAATGGCCTGGGAAGCTGCTGTTCTGGTCCACACATCATTCTACAGACGGGGAAACTGAGGCCCAGGAAGGGCGAGACTGGCCCGTCTTACACATGCACGCTCATGCTAAAGCTGGGGATCAGCTGCGCAGTTGAGAGACAAGGTCCTCGTGGGAAGATTAAGGTCGCCTCTGCTCAGGAACACCGAGCATCCAGCTGGCGTCCGTTCACTCCTCAGCAGGAGCTGGTCTTCATCATCCCACTGGGACCTGCGAGGTGCTCCCTCCTGAAGAACGCGAGTCCAGGGCCCTGCAAAGCCTTCCCCGCAATACCATGGATCCCCACCAGAGGGCAGTAGCGGTGCGCCTACGTTTGTCACACTCAAAACCCAGCCCGTGGCCCTCCCGCCACTGAATCAGAACCAGAACCAGCTGATTCCGATGGATGGCGAGGGAGAGCCTGGACTTTTATAGGAACTCAGCTCCCCGGGAGAATGTATGCCAAAGTTGTCAGATCCGATTTTCCAAGAGAAACCATAAATTCGGATTCTCATGTAGAATACAGTGATCTGTAAATGCTGGCCGTGAATAAATTAATAAATTGGAGGGTTTGGAGGGTGACAAGACCAAGCAGATTAACGTGGAGAGGCGTGTCGCCAGTTTGGCCTCCCATTGCCTGGGCCCCACAGGACCCCAGCCCTCTAGGTAGGGTGAAAGGCCTGGGTATCCCTTCCTATCCCCCGCCCCAGTAACCCTCTCACCCAGGACAGCTCTCTGTCTTATATACCAGGTTCCTCATAATATGGGCTTAAACGAAAATGCTCTGTAGCTTTTTGACACAAGTTTGGAAACTCCTCTAGTCCAACTATGTCATCCTACAGGTGGGGACACTGAGGCTGAGAGGGGGCAGGCAAACGTGTGTCCCCCTAACCCTGGAAGACAGGCAGTGGCTAAGAGGAGAGAGCATGTTGGGAGCAATGCTACATAATTCTAGGGAAAAATCATTTGGTTAGCCTAGTTCTCCTGCCTACAGCCCAGCTACAGAATAACTCCAGTTTGGCCTCCGGTCACAACTGAGACTTCAGTGATCCAGTGATGCTGTGATTCTCCAGGACAAGAAACATCCTGGGAGAACAAACATCTGCTCAGTTCCTCATTGTTCTTGCGCTGATTAACATCTTGTTTGCCGGAGATGTACTGAGCTCTCTGCAAGCCTTTTGTTACACCTTGTTTATCCCAATGTGAACTACTGAACTCTCTGCAAGTCATTTGTTACGTTTGTTTCTCCCAATGTACTGACTAAAATGTGCAGTAAGCTGGGGGCTTTTGTCTTTGCTGCCCAGAGCAGCACTCATCAGACCCAAAGCTCAGCTTCTTCTCAGTGTCATTTTTCTACCTTTCCTGTAATTCGCTGTGTGCTGCCGTGGCTCGCAGGAGACCAGGACTCACTGCAGAGGTTCTGGCAACGTCCCCTTCCCCTGTTCCCTACAAGAGCACCCTCAAGGTGAATGGGGAGGTCAAGGTCAATTCTGTTTAGAACCCATTCGCTTGGTGCCCCTCTGGATGCCAGGCCTGTCCTATGTATGATCCCTCCAGGAAGGGTCAAGAGCAGCCCCTCCCCTGGCCACCCCACATGGAGCTGGACAGTTGCCACTTGCCTCTGAGCCACCTACCACCCTTCTATGCCTCGCATCAGCAGCCTAGGCAGTGCCTAGGATTTCCTTGTTGCCTGGTTCCTCTTAGACTCAACCAATGGGAGGTATCTTTGGCATTGGCTTCCTGTCGGGCCTAGCCAATGGGAGGTCAAAACTGGCAACACATTTCCCCTTGTGTTTCCAGAAAGTGTTTCCTTCTTCATCCTCTCTGGAGCAGACTGGGCCTGTACTCGCCCTGCATAATTTACTTAAATGATCCCTTTAAGAAACTCGCCTCAGTTTACCCCTTTGTGCCATCTGCGTCTATGAAAACTCAGAACTACCTTTCTTCCTGCCAGTCTCACCTGGATTATTATGGTCTGTTAATACCTATTGTTATCTGTTAACAATATTCTGTAAATCAGCCAATATTGGTTAGTTTACTAGGCCTGTATTTGCTGGCATTACCTCCCTGAGTAATAATATCCACTAAATCGCAAGTTTGCTCTGCTCATTAAAATTGTATTTTCCTAATACTCATTACAATTAATCCATCACTGGGAAAGGTTAGTGTTCTCACCTATATTCCAGCTGCAGGCTGCACATGGCCAGCACACACGCCTCACATTTGGGGACAGTGACTTATGTGACAGAGAGCAGCTCCTCTTGTCACATAAACAGAACACAAGGCAGAAGGAAGGAGTAACGAATTCCCAAAGGAGGTGACATTTGCAGGATCATCAGAGCAGGATGTCATCAGAAGGGGTGAGGAGAGGGAGAGGGAACAGCAGGAGGAAATTGTGTTTGTTTAGGTTCTGGGAAGGAAGTAGCCCAAAGAGACAATTAAGTTTGGGAAATTATGGGTTCTAAAGAAGGTAAATAGGTTTCCTCCCTGCAGGACTTGTCAGAGCCTTTACTATCCTCATGTGCATCAAGTTTCTCTGAGATGAGAGGTAACCATCTCTCCTCAGTTCTCTGAAGCTGTTGATGAACCAGGGTTAGCAAACTTTTAAGGCAAAGGGCCAGAGAGTAAATACTATGTCTCTTTCACAAAGTTTTCTCCCCACCTCCTTACAGTCCTTTAAAAGTATAAAATCATTTTTAGCACATGAGCATGGAAAAACAGCCATGGGCTATGGTCGACTGAACCCTGGATTATAAAATGAGCCTTGGAATATAAACATCACCCCTGGAGGCAGGAGGCCCTGAACACCTTAACTGTAGATGTCAACGGAAAGACAAATCTGATTTCAGAGAAGCGAAAATGCAGGGGAGACCTGGGGGCAAACTTGAGGCCCTTTTCCTCTGAGCCACTCACAGGTGGCCCCAGGAGCCTGCTCTGGGGAGGGCTGCTGTGGGGACCAACGGCCCAGGGCCCAGGGAAGTGAGGGCTGGCCTGACCTGGATCCTCTGCGTCTTCTTCTGCATCATCTCCACGTCATTGTTGAGCTCCGTGACGTAGGTGAAGCGGGCAAAGTTCTTCTCCTCCTTGGCCAGGAAGTCCTCGATGAGGTGGTTCAGGTTCCCGTCCTCCACCAGCTTCAGCAGCCGCAGCTGAGCCACCTCGTAGCTCTTGAAGCTCGTGCCCCTGCTCTTCTTTCCATGCTTCTTTGCCTTGAGAGCTAGAAAAGGGGAAACCAGAGCCAGAGTCCATACTGGAAGCCACTCAGCTCAGTGACAGGCAGAGAGTAGGTGCCTTGGGGAGGGGGCTGGATCTTTCCAAGTGAGGGAAGAAGCCCCCTTGTTATTCTAACTAAGCATTTACTATGCATCACACACTGGACCAGGCTCACTCATGCAGAATCCCTGCCCCATGGAGCCTTTAGTGGAGGAGTCAGACAAAGAGAGGAAGGAAAAGAAGCTACCCCAGTAAACAGAAAAATCCACTCATTGTTCTGCTTTAGATGGGGACAGGGGAGGCCTCTCTATGAGGTGACATTTGAGCAGGATGAAGGTCAAGGAAGTGGCCAAGGAAGGCCCCAGGGTGGGTTCTTAGGCAGGCTCAGAGCTTAGGAAATGCAATTAGATTCCAGAAAGTTCTTTGAGCCTCGCTCTCTCCAGCCATGAATCCTGCATCAGCCCTGACTCTCCTGAACCTGGCATTATCTCTCTGATCAGCTTTCACATGGCAATTAGAGGATCTTTTCTAGATTTTTCTAGGTACTTCTGGCCATGTGACCCCTTCCAAGTTGTAGCTCCCTCCTGTCCCTGGAAGAAAGTAAAAGCTTCTCAGCATTAATTAAGATCTGATCTCCTCTACCACCCAGAGCCTATCACCACCAGATGTTGTCACTACTTTGCCTGGCTCCTCTGATGATTCCCACCACATGCAGGATAAATGTGTGCCCCCTTCTGTAGCCTAGATGACCCCATGATCTAGCCCTCCCCACCTCTTTGATCTCATCTCTCCTGCCTCTCCTCATGGCAACAATTCATTCCAACCACACGACCTTCTCTCTGTTCTGGAAGCAAACCACCCTATCCATAGCTCAGGGCCTCTGCGCTCACACTTTCCTCCGCCTGACTTGCTCTGGCTGCTGTACTGGGTCCCACCTGCTTCTGACCTTGTGACAGGTATAGAAAGGCCTGCTCAAAGGCTGGGCTCTGTTTGGCATCTGGGAACTCAGAGAGTCACCAGTTTCACTAGTCACTGATATAAAACTTCCCATCTGATCAGGGGCTCACAGCCCCTGGCTGCACACAGCACAGCCTATGGGGGCGCCTGCTTTCCCCCGGGAGGCTGGAAGCCAGGTATGTGCCAGGCAGGGGGCATCCACGTGGCCAGCCCCTGTAAGAATGTGGGGTGCAGTGTCTCTGGTGTGCTCCCCCAGCAGCCAACTCTTCTCATGTGTCATCACCAGCAGATACCCACTCCTGGCTTTCTCTGGTCTTCATCCCTGCACTTTCCCTGTCATCCTCCCTGCAAATCCCCAAACCTAGGGGTGCCCTAAGGGACCAGAGACACACTAGTCTCCCCTGAACAATGGAAGGAGAGTCTTGGTGTGAGAACCTGGACAAAACAGAGGGCAACCAGGTACATGTGAACTGCAGGCATGCTTTACATCCCTCAAAGTATAAATATGCTTTAGTGTAAGTATATCCCCATAATTAACCCATGTAAATATTCATTGTTTATTTGAAATTTAAACTTAACCTGGCACCTTGGAGTTTTATTTGGTAAAATTGGCAACGCTGCTATACAAAGATCAGAGACAGAGAGAGATAGAGAGAGAGCCCCTGGGGAGTGTACCTTCCTCCCTTTTGGCCTGCTCCTCAAATTCGGTGCGGTCATTGAGCTTGAGAAGCAGGAAGGACTTGAGTTTGGTCTCATGGGTGTAGAGCCGCTCCAGCTCACGGATCTCCAGGCTGTACTGGGAGACGTCCTTCTGCTGGCGGTCCTTCATGGCTGCCATGCGGGCCATGGCCTCCAGCCTGGGAAGGGTGCAGAGCTGGGGCATCCTGAGGCTCCGCCCTCCTTCTGCCCTCTCCCTGCCAGCCCAGGCACTTTCTGGTTCACCATGGACCACTGGGTTTCTTAATAAAAGTTTCTGGAGCAGAAGGACAGCTCTTCTTACCTGAGCTACTGGAGCTGGAAGCTCTAGGCCATCCCCAGGGAGTGATTTTCCTGTCCCCAGCCCCTCTCTGTTAGCACTGTCACCATCACCATCATCACTAGACTCATCACCAAGATCATCATCATCACCACCATCAACAGCAGCATGGCTACTACCGTCATCACCATCATCATCATAACGATCACCATCACCACCATCACCATCATCACCATCATCACACCACCAACATCACTACCATCTCCATCACCTGTCAGTTGCTGAGTCGCAGTGCTCCCTTACATGCATATATATATATAATTTTTTTTGGTACCGGGGATTGAACTCAGGACCTTTCCCTTGCAAGGCAGGTGGCAGAACCACTGAGCTAAATACCTGGGCCTCGTGCGTATATTATTGAATCTCTCTACCACTAAAAGAGACCCTATAACAACACAGCAGTGATGGAGCCAGGCTGCAAACCCGGCAGTGTCTGACTCTAACACCTGTTCTCTTCTTAGCTGAACTCTCTTTCCAGAGACCTAGATTGAGAAAGATCCTGGGACTAGCAGCAGGACACCTGGAGGGGTTGGTGCCAACCAGAGGTTTGAGTCTCAGCTCCACCCCACCCACCACTTCCGTGGATTCCAGCTGAGTATTCTAGCATCTCCAAGTCTCCACGCCCTGGTCTAGAAAAGGGGGACAACAACTCCTAGGGGAGTCGTGAAGGTTGAAACACTGCACAGAGTGCCTGGCATCGTGCTGGGCATGTAGGCAGCACGTGGAACTATCGCCATTGTGATTTAAGGTCCCCCACATACTAGGAGGCCAAGCTCAGCCAGGAGCCATGGGCCACGGCCCCAGCACTGCCCCACACCTCTGCTCGTAGGCCTGGGCAGACTGCTCGATGGCCACATTCATGGTCTTCTTCTGCATGAGCAGGCGGTGCTGCAGCTGCTGATACACATTGTCATAAGTGGCCTTCTCGAACCGCAGATCCTCAATCTCCTTCCGGAGCTTGGCATTGGTCGTCAGCATCTTGTCAAAGTGCACAGTGACCTGTTGGGTGGACATAGGGGTCACCCTTGGGGCAAGAGAGAAGTTTCCAGAAGACATCTGGGGGTTCAGAAGTTCTTTCCCTACCTCCCATCCTAGGGCCACGGAACAAGGACTGGAGCACTGGGTGAGAGCCTGAGTTGGCCACCAATTGGCCAAGTGGTCTTTGGTGGGTCTTTATTCTAGTTTCACATTTCTCAACTGCCTTTAGTCCAAACTTCTAATTTTCAGCGGTTACATGCAAGGCAGGAACAAGGTGAATGGCACCATGGGAAATGCAGATAATTGGCCAAATCAAGAAGGCAGAACTTTCTACAGAATTAGCCTGGAGTGGTGGAGCACACCTGTAATTCCAGTACTCAGGAGGCTGAGGCAGGAGGATTGCCATGAATTTGAGGACAGCCTGGGCTACATAGTGAGTTCAAGGCCAGCCTGAACTACATAATGAGACACTGTCTCAAAACAAACAGAACTTTCTACAGGACAATTGGCTTGGACCTTTCAGCAAGTTGGTGGCATGAAACAATTTCCATGGGGCTGTTTGAAGCTGAATTTCTCAAACTCAGCATCACTGGTGTTTTGGGTGATATGGCTTTGACAGGAGCTAGTGTGCTTCATAGGAGGTTAAATATCCACGAGATGTCAGTAGCAACCCCAACCCCAACCCAGTGTGCCAACTGAAAGTGTCTCCCTTACGTGACAGTATCCCTTTGGGGACAAAAATCACACTCCAACTAAAAACTACTATTCTACATTAAAGAAACATAAGACACAATAACAATTACGTGAACTAGGGCTGGGGATTTAGCTCAGTGGTTATGCCACCTGTCTTGAAAGTGTAAGGACCCAAGTTCAATCCCCAGTACCAAAAAAAAAAATTCTCAAAACAATTGTATGAACCTTGATTGAATCAACTTTTAAAGAGATTTGGGGACCAATGAGAGAAATTTTAATATAGCATTGGGTAATACTTAAGGAAATATTCATCTTCTAAAGCACAATACTGGTATTGTGATTGTAACAGAAAACTGTTAATTTTAAGAGATGAAGTGGTGAACAGCAGAGAAACAGCCTCTCTGAGATTTGGTATCCAGATGCTGGAATATAACAGCATGAGGAAGAGAAGGAAGGAAGAGATCTAAGGGATCTAAAGATCTAAAGCAAGAAGTGAGGCCCATAGGGAGAGCAAGAAAAGAGATTTCAATGAAGAAGGAGGTGGCAAGCAGCACTTTCTCTCTGTCTCATTGCCTAGAAAGGGAAGCTCAAACTTTCAGATCCACAGTGACTGCTAGAAACCCTGGAGGCCTCCACAGAGAAATGCACCAATGGAACAGAGCAGTCGACTCAGCACACTGCAGTGACTGCTCAGTTATTTGGGCTCAGCCGTCCCCCAGGAGAGGGTAATTGGCCAGTAGCCATCGTGGAGAGGGGCCAACTGAGCCCAGAACTCAGAGCAGCTATGGTCTGGCTCCATGTAGAGGCTCCAGTGTCAGGGTGAGGGAGAATCAAATTCAAGTCAGCAGGAGGTCAAGGAGCCAAGTTCAAGCTGGGAGGAGGCACAAGAAGTGTTGCATACTGAACAAATTGGGTTCCAGCCTCACAGCAGAAACCACTCTCAGCTTCAGAAGTAAAGGTACAGACTTGGTGGATTATCCACTATCCCACTGTAAATCTATGGCTAGCTTTCTGGGATTAATTAACTCAGATCTGGGCACTGTCTGCCCATTCTATCTACCAGTGACAGCAGAGACATGCCTTGAAGTGGACTTTTTGTTTTCCTTCTCTTGTTTTTGTTTTGTTTTGTTTCTTTGCTTTTTTGATTGTTTGTTCTTGTTTTTATATGAGTGAACATTGTTTCTAGTACTTTTTGTTGTTGTTCTATTCTAGTCTTTTTTTTTTTTTTTTGTACCAGGGATCGAACTCGGGTCCTTGTGCTTGCACAGCAGACGGCGAAAGCGCTGAGCTAAATCCCCAGCCTTCTAGTCTTATTTTTATTTCTTCCTTCTCTCTTTCCCTCCTGTCTTCAACAGTTTCTCAAAGCTGGCGTAGTCTGTCTTGTCCTCTCTTCCTCTTCTTCTGTTTCTCTATTTTTCCCCCAACCCCTTTTAACTTTTCTCCACTCAGGATAAAATCACCATACTGAGGGCACATTTACTTACTGTATACAATTTTTTTGTTTATTTTAGATTTTGTTATATAATCACAAATCTAGTTCATACAGTTACAGGTGGTAAATCAATAATTATCATAGTTTGTCATTTTCTAGGTTGGGTTTGATGCTATTCTTATTGGTGATTGTACTACTTTAGCCAAGGGGACATATGAATTGCCAAAGCTGAATCAAAAAGGTATAACAGCTGGGGATTTAGCTCAGTGGTTCCATGTCTGCCTCACAAGCTCAAGGTCCTGAGTTCAATCCCTGGTACTAAAAAGAAAAAAGAGATATAACCATTCTAAATAAATCAATATCAGTCAATAAAATTGAAGCTGTATTAAAAGCCTACCAATAAAGAAAAGCCCAGGCGCTGACAGATTCACTGCTGAATTCTACAAGAAATTTAGAAAAGAGGGCCTGGGATTTAGCTCAGTGGCACAGCACCTGCCTCTCAAACACTTGGTCTAAGTTTGATCCCCAGTACCAAAAAAATTAAAAAGAAAGAAAGAAAGAAAGAGAGAGAGAAATTTAGAGAAGATATAATGCTACTGGTTCTCAAACTCTTTAATGAAGTTGAAAGGGACACAATACTCCCAAATTAATTTCTGAAAGCAAGCATTACTCTAATACCAAAGCCAGAGAAAGATCCAATCAAAACAGAGAACTACAGGCCAATCTCCCTAATGAACATAGATTTAAAACTCCTCAACAAAATACTGGAAAATAGAATGCAGTGAATCATCAAGAAAGTTATATACCATGACCAAGTAGGATTCATCCCAGGGATGCAGCGATGGTTCAACATACACAAATCAATTAATGTAATACACTATATTAACAGAGCCAAGGACAAAAGCCATATGATCATGTCAATAGATGCAGAAAATAGCATTTGACAAAGTCCAACACCCATTCATGATGAAAAACCTACAGAAAATTGGACTAGATAGTCTTTATCTCATTCTGATAAAAGCCATCTATGGCTAACCAATAGCCAGCATCATACTAAATGGACAAAAATGGAAAGCTTTCACTCTAAAATCAGGAACAAGACAAAGATGTCCAGTATCACCACTCTTATTCAATATAGTTCTGGAAACATTAGCCAGAGCAATTAGACAAGAGAAAGAAATAAAAGGAATGAGGATAGGAAAGGAAGAAGGTAAATTATCATTATTTGCAGATGACATGATACTCCACATAGAAGACCACAAAAACTCCACCAAAAGATTTCTAGATTTAATAACCAAATTCAATAGCATATCTGCATACAAAGTCAACACTCAAAAATCAATAGCCTTCCTGTACACAAATAACAAACTCAAGAAGAGAGAAATTAGGGAAACAATACCTTTCACAATAGCATCCAGAAAAATTAAATACCTAGGGACCAATCTAATGAAGGAAATAAAAGACCTTCACATGAAAACTACAGTACTCTGAAAAAAGAGATTGAAGAGGATATCAGAAAATGGAAAGGCCAGGGATTTAGCTTAGGGGCCGGGGATTTAGCTCAGTGATGCTGCCGCCAAGCCCAAGGTCCTGAGTTCAATCCCCAGTACCAAAAAAAAAAGGAAAGATTTCCCTTGTTCTTGGGTAGGAAGAACCAATATAGTGAAAATGGCCATATTCCAAAATTGTTATACAGATTTGATGCAATCCAGATCAAAATACCAATAGCATATCTCACAGAATTAGAGAAAACAATTGTAAAATTCATTTGGAACCAAAAGAGACCTAGAATAGCAAAAGCAGTTGTGTGCAACAGAGGCAAGGCAGGGGGCATCACAATCCCTGATTTCAAATTATGCTACAAAGCTACTGTGATAAAAAACAGCATGGTACTGGGCTGGGGATTTAGTTCAGTGGTGCCACCCCCTGCCTCACAAGCTCAAGGTCTGGAGTTCAATCCCTGGTACCAAAACAACAACAACAACAAAACAGCATGGTACTGGCAAAAGAACAGACCTGAGGATCAATGGAACAGATCAGAAGATGCAGAAGCAACTCCAGGCATATTCAGCCATCTTATCTTTGACAAAAGAGCCAAACACCTTCACTGAAAGAAAGATAACTTGTTTAATAAATGGTGCTGGAAAAGTGGCTTCCCACATGCCCAAGATTAAAACTAGACCCACATCTTTTACCATGTACTAAAATAAAATAAAAATGGATCAAAGATCTAACTATTAGAACAGAAACACTAAATCTGCTGGAAGATAGACTTGGTAGGACTCTGTAGACATCTACTAAGTCCATTTGTTCAAAAGTTTGGTTCAGTTCTGATATTTCTTTGTTGCTTTTTTTGTCTAGTTGATCTATTTGTGACAGTGGGGTTTTCAGGTCACCCACTACAATTGTATTAATGCTTGTTTAACTTTTCTTGTCTGTTGATATTTGTTTTATATAGTTGGGTGTGCTGGTATTTGGTGCATATATATTTATGATTGTTATGTCTTCCTCTTGGATTGTTCCCTTTACAAGGATGTAGTGACCTTCTTTGTCTCTCAGTCAGCCTTGGCTTGAAATCCACTTTGTCTGCAAACAGAATAGCTACCTCTGCTTTTTTTCTGGGTTCCTGTCACATGGAGTATTTTTTTCCATCCTTTGACTTTCAGTCTATGAATTTCTTTTTGAATTAAATTTGTTTCTTGTATACAGCATATTGTCAGATATTGCTTCTTGATCCATTCTCCCAGTCTGCTTCTTTTGACTGGTGAATTGAGACCATTATCATTGATGTTTATAACTGACATGTATTGGCTTACCCTTGCCATGTTATTTTCTTGTTCTTAGCTCCCTTTTTTTCTCCTCTGTTTAATTCCTTGCCTTGCCTGGTGGATTCATTCTGTTGGAGTTCATAGAGTTATAATCCTTGCTATTTCTTTCTAGAGTATACTTCAGAACACTTTAGAGTGCTGTTTTGGTGTTCATGAATTTCCTCAGGTGTTCTTTGTCATGGAAGTGTCTTATATCTCCATTAACTTTGCAATATAGTTTTGCAGGGTACATCAATCTGGGTAGGAGATTGTTTTCTTTTAGGGCTTGAAATACTTCACTCCAGGCTCTCCTTGACTTGAGGGTTTGTGTTGAGAAGTATGCTGTGATTCTGATGGGCTTTCCTTTATAGGTGATTTGTTTCTTTTCTGTAACTGCTTTTAATATTCTGTTCTTATGTTGAATTTCTGGAATCTTGACTATTATATGCCTTGGTGTAGATTTTTTTGATCAT